GGTAGCAACACACTTGTAAAGTGTTTGAGGATTGAGAGAGTTCACCTATTTTTTTTCCTGTTCAAACTTTCATCTTGTAAAAACCCAGATAATGTCTATCAATATGTTAGCATGTAAACATGTTTATATGCCTGCACTTAATTTATTAATACAAAATGTGCCTTAATACTTCTCAAGAATGAACTAGAAAGCAATTTTGTTATTATACAAGTAATACAGGAAGACATTCACCATTGTAAAAGACTAATACAGATGTGAAATATACAGAATAAAATGCCCCTTTTCACATCCTATCCATCTTCCATTTCTACCCACTCCCCAAAGGTAAGCCATTTTCATTTAGTATATATTTTTGTAGTTTTTATATTATCACTTACAGGCATATATATGTCTATATATTTTTATGTTTATCTGCTTTTAAAAATAAATAACTGGGAACACTATTCATATTGTTTTGCTTCTATACTTTTTAAATTAAGAATATGTTTTAGAGATCTTAACATAACTATACATAGGAATCTACTACATTATTTCTGTGACTATACTTCATTTATTTAACCATTTCCCTTCTGATTTATCTTGTGCAACTTTTAGCTGTTATAAACCATGGTTTGATGAATATTCACATAAATGGCTTTATATAATATGAGTATGTATATCTACAGTGAAGATTCTTAGAATTTAGGGAACAAAGGATATTTGCATTCAGAAAATCTTTATAGATTTTGCCAGCCTGCTCTCCTAAGTGGCTTTACAAACTAAATACAGAGTCTTGTTTTCTTGCATCATCATTAACTTAAGATTTTAATCAATCTTTTTACTATTAGCCAATGTTAAAATTTAAAATATCTTTTTTTACAGTTCCTTGATAAACCTTATGAAACATTGTGCAACACATTCAGTATTTATTTAGATCTGTCTACCTAATCAACATTTGTTCTATCTATCTATCTAATCATCTATCCCATTTTACTTGTTCTTCATTCCTATTTCTCTAACTTTCCATTTGTACTCATTTTCTTTATGCCTGGAGAGCACCTGTTAGTACTACCTTTAGTGTGTTTCTATATGTAATAAATTTTCTTATTTTTTGTTTGCCTGAAAATTGCTTTATTAAAATCCTCATTCTTGAAGGGATATTTTTGCTTGGTATGGAATTCTGAATGGGCGGTAATTTTCTTAGAACAATTTGAAGTTACTTCATTATCTTCTGGCTCTCATTGTTTCTGTTGAGAAATCAGCTGCCAGTCTTATTGTTGCTTCTTTGAAGGAACTGTGTCTTTTTTTCCTATGGCAGGTATTAAGATTTTCTTCACCTTTCATTTTTAGAAATTTTACTATGATATGCTTAGGTGTGGATTTACTCATATTTGTGGTTCACATTGAATCTTAAATATGTGACCTAATATTGTTGGTTATTTCTGGAAAGTTAATTCTTCAAATATTGCTTTTATCTTTTCATTCTGGAATTGACTTTTGTTATCTCTATATAATACTTTTCACTGTATCCATATTCTCTTCCATCTTTTCTGTGTTTACCATGCTTTTGCCAACCCATGCTTTATTTTAGATTTTTTTCTTTTGACTTATAGTTTACCAACTTTTCTCTTCAACCATGACCAATCTCTTGTTAAACACATTCATTTGGTTTTTAATTTCAATTATTGTATTTTTCTATTCCAGAATTTCCATTTGGTATTTTTAATAGTTTCTAGTTATCTGCTAAAATTCATATCTTATATTTTATTTTCAAGAATTTCTTAAGCATAATTATTTTAAAGTACATGACTAATTATTCCATCATCTGGAACACCTCTGGCAAATTTTTATTTTCTGTGTACCTGGTGAATTTATGTGATAGACATTCGTTATAAAAAACCTGTTGATATAATCTGGAGTGTAGCTTGGCTTTGTTTTATTTTAGAGAGAAGGTTAACAGCAATAAACACAGATAACCTAAATCCACCAGACACTGAGATAATCTGAAACTGACTTTCACTCCATGTGAGGGCTGATCTCCTAAAATGTGGTCCTTTCAAGTTCCAACATGCAACTTGTGGGATTTACTATATTCTTTCTTCCTCCACTTTCAAACACTTACATCTTAAAAAAAAATGTACAGATTTTCTAGTTGTTCTAAGTGAAAGTGTTGAACAAATTATAGTTTGCCATTATGTGACATGTCTGCCATTATGGGAAACAGATCTCTTAATAAATTGGACTCATTTTTAAGTTTTGTGTAAGGTAGAAATCTAACTTCTTTTTACCAAACTTGTAGTCAATTATCCTAACAGATTTTAAATGCCATTTTACTAAATAGTCACATATGCCATATACCAAAAACCCACATATGCATGAGTTTAATTCTAACTTTCATATTTAAGGAAAATTTACAATGATAATCAACAGAATATTGAAAAGAACAACAAGAAGTCCTTCCTCTTTCTCTTATAAGGAAGCCTATGACTACATTGAGCCCACCTGGGTAATCCAGAATAATCTCCCCATCTCAAATTTATTAGCTTAATCAAATCTGCAAAGTCCCTTTTGCCATTTAAGGTAACATACTCACAGGTTCCAGCAATTATTAATAGTATGCATCCATCATCAAATATATAGCTAAAGCTCAAATGTCCCTGATTATCTCATAACTGTTTTGTGTTTGTGCTTTGGTTTATTTGTCTCTTTTGTTTATCTGAAGTAGGATCCAATATACCTATGCTGCAATTTGATTCAAGTCATTTTAATAAGTTCACCCTTTATCTATTTTTTATTTATTTGTAAATTATTTGTTGAAGATTCCACATCTTCTAATATCCCATAGCCTGGTTCCCTGATTGTACTCCTGTGACATCCTTACCATGTTCTGCTATCTTCCACATTTTCAACAAATGGGTAGTTAGTGTTGGAAGACTGATGAGAAGACTAATTGGTTAAAACTGCAAGAGCAATTTGTATGTGGTTTTGCATAACTTTATTAGGAGGCAAGTGATGCCTGATTTTCTTTCCCTTTGTGATATTAGCAACCAAGATCTTTTATTTCATTAAGGGTTGACAAATGGTGATATTCTATTTCATCATTCTTTTTTCATTTATGAACTGGATACTTCTATTAATAGAGGGCATATATGGTTTTTTTCCCTAATCTTCCATCCACAATTAAGAAAGGAACTAAATTTTGTCAGTATTATCTAACTTGAATGCCTGAGAGTTAAATTTGAAACATTCACATGGTTGTCATGTGGCTCTTGTTTGGTCCCAGAGCACTGAGATCAGCATGAATAATCACATTAGTGGGGCAGACCCCTGCCTCATCCATGAAAGATTGTTAATTAAAAAACAGATATTTGTGCCAAGGGTTATCAGACACTTCTAAAATACCATAAAATGTTGTAGTATAAAAATCTGCTTTTGTTAATCCTTTAAAATACCATGAGTGGCCTAATTCTTGAAGACTCAATATCCTTTTTTACAGCTCTGGTCAGCTTGAGGAAAATACAAAAGACAATGGAAAATAAAGGAGCCAATCCCTGTCTGCTTTCTCCATTTTATCTTTCCATAAGCATAAATGTCATCTAAATATATCCTTACAATATAGAAGAAAGGCACGATTGTGTACTAAACAAAGAGAAATGGAGTTCCTTCTGAAATTTTTTCTTGATGACTTTAAATATCTACTTATGCTGCTGTTGAAACCACTATCATTTCCCCAAAGTTTTTCTGAATAGATGAGATAGGGTTATATTCTAAACAGATAATTATTGCGGTACTGTCACACGACATGATGTAATTCTGAAATGGAAACGTTTTCAGTGAAACTTTATCAAGTGACACCTAATTTAAGCTACAGTATGAAGAGACTGCAAAGAAGTAATTTTAAGGAAAGTCTAAAGCAAAAAGGGTTCCATGTTTTCTGGCAGTTCATTTTTATTAGGCTGGCATTAGGACGAGTACCCAAATGGAAGGTGAGCAATGGTGACTGAGGTGTTTATAAAGCAAGTAATTTATAAATTCCAGAAGGACAATACTCAAGAGGACAGAATAGTTGACACAGTTTATCTGGTTCTTAGTATTAAAGATAATGTGAATATCCCTTTATTCACTATTGGTTTTCGATCATGGCCACTCTTGTCCCTGATACTTCTAAGAGGCAACGAAGCCTCCTAAAGTAATTAAGAACCTACAGGAGCACTTATTATCGCATCTTTAGTATCCTTAAAATGTTTTCCCACTCAAGATTCATTTCTAGTATTACAAATATGTGATTATAAGTAAGGCTGTTCAGAAGTGTCTCCAGGTGGACCATTTATTGTAAAACTGCTGTTTTATGCACTGCCCTTGAATCACTTATGTAGCACTAATTGAGGGGCTACTGTGTCCTGAATTATACTATATGCAGTGGTAGAAAAACAGCAGATGGTCCTTGCTTTCAAGAAATTACTGTTGAGCTGTATTGACTATAAACAACCTGCATGTAACGCTGCATATTTTTATGCTTATTGGTGTAACAGTAGCCAAAATTCAGCAATAAGAGATCAATTGTAATAAATTCACAGAGTGTGATTGTCCAAACCTTTTGTTTGAGATATGATGCAATTAAGGTAAGTTTGCTTCCTTAAGAAAATGGGATTTGAATTAGGTCTTAAACAATGAGAATAAAAATAAATGTGAAATTAGAAGAGAATTCACTGAATTAATTTCTCTCATTTTTTTCTGATTTAGTTGTATGAGGACATACCCTATCCAATTGAGCTTTGCCAAATAATACACAAATACATAAAGTATACATGATTAATAATGCTTTTAATGCCAAAGACAGCTTATTTTCTTAATCCAAAGATCACTTTATATAATTATTCTTTTTGCAAACTACTAGTTGGTTATATTAACACTTGAATAATCTTGACAAGAAGTTGCTTTAAGCAGTGAAAGATCCAGATGCTGATCAGCATGCAGTAAGTGATTCAGCTTAATTGGTTCCATCTAGATAGATTACTTACCTCAGTTCCTATCACAATTTCTTCCCTGGCAGAGAAGAACATAAACTCGTACAGCTTGTAGTGTTGAAATAAGCTGAAATACAAAATAATGTGCAACTCTGATACATTTATTTCAGGACAAAAAGAAAATATGTAAAGGCATTTATTAAAGGAAAGTTCATATTGAACAAGCTAACGATATTAAACACTAACATAGAGTTAGCCACCTCTTTTATTACAAAAGAAATTGTCCAGAAATACAAGAAATTAAAGTTTTATTTTTTCCGAGACATTGAAAATATAACACAATACCTAGAATAATATCTGCAAACTCATCTGTGATGAGTGGATAAGTTTGGAATAAGGGAGCAATTAGACCGCATCTTGACTTTTCTTAGCTTAAAATCAAATAATGTACCCTTCCTAAATAACATCAAACTTCACATTATTTTTCATGTTTTGCTCCCAACAAGACTCAATTTCCTCTGGTCTGAATAGCTCTGAATTCCATAATCTACTTCTGTATTAATTACTTCTTCTCACATTCTCAAACTGTTTCAAGATTAAAGTAATTTCTAATAACACCTGAAAAATGATACCACATGAACTGAAATCCATTTAAAAGATATCTGATTTTCCTGCAGAATATTTGGCCACACATGAAAGGGAGGAATTTTAATTTAAGAAAGATCATTTCTTCAGTTCCTACCCTAGGAACTGGGTAGGAACTAGTTGATCAGTGTATAAAAACTATAAAGAGCCAAAGGATAGGAGGTCGTCAAAACAAATATTTCTAGTAAGTTTAAAGAGCAATGTGTTATTAAGAGTTAAAAATTTACTGAAGAGCTGACTTCTAATATCCTGTTTGTGATAATATTTGAATTTTTCTAATTCCCTTCCTGCTGGTTGGGAAAATTAATAGACTCATAATACAGCAAAACGCCCAAGAACAAAAAATTGTCTTAGTGGTTTCTCTTTCACTCTGGTGCCTTTTGCTATTTAAGAAAATTGATTTTAATATAACTGAGAAATTAACATTTGCAAAATGTAGCTACAGAGCATGTATAATAATGGTTTCTCCTGAATGTTGTAATGGATCAACGTTTCAATTCATTTGAAATCAATGAAGAAATCCTCAGGCAGCTGGGTCTCTCTGAGTTATATTAGCAGTTGATCTCACCACTAACAAATCCATTAAAAGTGATGGGTGTGTGGATTCAGTCACGGTATTATTTTGGGGGGGAAAAAACCTTGTACATTCAAATTACTCATCAACATTCAGAAAAGTAACTTGGCTTTTGACATTACTTTGATTTGTTGGCTAGAAAAATACATCAAAATTAGTGAAGTCTGATAATTCAATGAAGCAAAATAAATTCAAACTCTACCTCCCTTACACTGGTTACCTAGAGGAAGCTTTAAGGTCAAAAATATTTCTCCAGCAATAATTAATTTTGAGTAGAAAAATTAGACTATAGAGTATTCTGGAAACAGCTTGGCTTCCTCTCAGTGAACTAGCATAAAATTTCCCTCTTTCTGTCTGGTGTCGCACAAAGAACTTAATTCATAAATCTTCCCTTGTGTAATTTCATAATCTTTCAGCCTTATTCTTTTCATTGCATATAGGAATTAGATTGTCCCATGCCAAGAGGGAAATTCACTTCTTACAATGACACTAAAATGCATGAGTTGGATGCAGTGGTCAAAGATGCAGGGTTGGGGGCACCTACAGAGGCACTTACTCAGGGGCAGGCCATCCTCACCTCACCCTACACTCCAGCTTTACCCGTGGTCTCGCAAGAGAACAAGTGACACTTCAGCTGCAAGGGTGCATTTTCTCCCTTTTCCTTTAGACTTCCGGCTGACTCAAGCTCCTAGACTATTTTGTCAAACATTTAGTCTTAGTCCAAAACTGAAGGGAGATGGAATGGGTCAAGACATCTGGCTCCATGCCAGGAAGTGCAATGCCTTGTGGTGCACAGAGGGGCAGGGTTGATTTTCTTATATTGGGTATATGTCTGTGCATATTATTGTCACCTAATTCCTACAAATAGGTAGAATCCACAATGATAGAAGTGTACTAGGACCAGATATATATGTAAATGATGTTTTCTATTAAAAAGCTAGAGTAGTATTTATATTTGAATACATTATACAATATATACAAACATATATATCTTGCAAGTAGATTTGCCAGTACTTATAGTAATGTGGGAGAGGAATTTTCATATTAGTGATTTTTCAAATCACAGACATATGACAGGCTGTATTAAGAGCATCAAATGAAATTTCAATTTTATTGTCAGTTAAGCTTCATGTGCTATGGGCTATGTTTCAAAAACTGTTCTCCCTAAACTGACTAGAGCTTTTTAGTGGGCGAATAAACTTAGTATCAGGTTAAACTGAAACATGTTTACACATTTGATAATTGAGTTACCTTCATATTTATAAAACTGCTTTGTAGTCATCAAAATGAAAAATATTCTATGATTTAATTGCCATTGAACTTCCATTTGTGGACTTATGAGGAGTTTTGAACAGGTGTTGTAGAAAAGCACATTTTGATTTACACAACTTCAGTATCAATTTCAGATATCCTACTAACTGATATTTTATTTTTCTGTAATAGGGATATTTAAAATGTATAATTTCTTTGAAATTGCAATATGAAGATGAAATAGCATCAAAAAGAGTTCTGATTTACTTTATTTGATTAATTTCTTAAATATTACTTTTTTGTTTTTTTATTTTTTCAGTGAAGAAAGATTAGGAATTTTTGATATGTAAAGTTACCCTGGTTAGGATCTAAAGGCGACTAACACTGACATCCCCTCCTAACTGAACCATTTTCCGAAAGAAAGTGTCAAGAAATACATCCATGAACATTTTCCCAGAGAGATGAGATGAAAGGGAAAAGAGCTGCTGTCCTTTACCTTCTAGAAAGTACTTTGTCACAGCACCTGCCAGGGTTGTGTGGCCATGGTTAACTACCAGTCCCCATGCCCATTATAAACCTCCTAGGCTCAGAGCTCAGTTGTAAAAATGTGTTCTGCAAGAGAAACCTGGCATGTTCAAATAGAGAGAAGGGAAAGAAGAACACTAATACAAATGTGTAGGGTAGAATTCCTCTTGCCCGGTGATCCTCAAACCCTGATGGAGAGAAAGACCTCAAGGAACAGGTTCTCCTCCAATTCTGGATTTCCATTTCCTCCTTTCCCCACACCCAAGGACCTTGCATTACTCTAATTGATATGAAAACTACCGTGGCTTTAGTGAGAGACATTCTTTAGAAGGAATGTTTTAATATTAAGAAATCACATTATATCAAATGTTATGTAAAAAACACATTATATCATATGCCATTATTAATTCATGCCAGAAACCAGTATACAAACTTTATCATATTAAACACACTAATATTTAAAAGGCTTCCAGACTATAACCAGGATCCTTGCCAAGAAAATCATGAGCATGTCTAGGATATCATTCAGCATCCTTTATGTTAGAATTTTAAATTCTAAAAGTGAAAAACACTGGACTATCTAATACAAGAGGAATAAAGATACTTTGCAGAAGCTTTCAGTTAGGCCAAAGATTTTTACCTACTCTTGTTTGAATATTTGCAAACTCTAAAAATGTCCCTTGGGAGAGATACATGACTCTATTGCAGACCTTGCAACAGATTATATAAAAAGATAGATTTCTTAGTTCAGCAATGAAGAATCACTGTAATAAAAATACTTTCCCTCCATCTACCATCATTTTTATAGCAGAAAGAAAAGACCTAATGAGTTTAACTGGTCAGTACTACAAAATATTTCAGGGCACATAATAAATTTGAGGAAGTATATTCATAAATCTCTTCAATTTATAAAACAAAGCATTTAAAATAAACACCTAAATGGAAATGAATGTTGCCTCTTAAAATGTAAAATTAGGTAATTACCTAAAATATAGAGTCTGTTGTAACTGAATCTGATTAATCTGTATCATTTTATTAATAAAATGGTATTAATTGAAGATGCAGAGAAAAAAATTCTTAGATAATTTATTGTAATTCTAGATAAAATTATACTTATCAAACACAAACCCTTTTTAAGAATGCAAATTTAGCTCAAATGTTCAATATCTTGACTTTTATTTACTGGATGAAAGATCTGAATACCTAATTTAAAGAAGATTTAATTATCTAATTTTTGGTTAGGTTAATTACTGCATAAATTCTGTAAACATCTGAACTGGCTAAAACTGAATTACTTTTTATTTAATAGACATTTTCCAAAAGGTGTGAAATGAAAAATAAATGCTACTGAAAAAAAATTCATACCTGATTTTTAAGTAATCGATGATAGCATTTGCTTGTTTTATATCAAAGACATTACATTGCTCACATTTTTGTGAATGAGTTGGTCCAATTTCAGCCATGACTTCCCCAAGCCATTTTATGCTGTCCTCTAAGGACATGTGTAGTGCTGAAAAAAAAATCCAGGGAAATCTTAAGCATTATTTATTTATTTATTTATTTATTTTTTGAGACAGAGTCTCACTATGTTGTCCAGAGTAGAGTGTCGTGGCGTCAGCCTAGCTCACAGCAACCTCAAACTCCTGGGCTCGAGCAATCCTACTTCCTCAGCCTCCCGAGTAGCTGGGACTACAGGCATGTGCCACCATGTCCGGCTAATTTTTTCTATATATATTTTTAGTTGTCCAGATAATTTCTTTCTATTTTCAGTAGAGACGGGGTCTCGCTCTTGCTCAGGCTGGTCTTGAACTCCTGACCTTGAGCGATCCACCCGCCTCGGCCTCCCAGAGAGCTAGGATTACAGGCGTGAGCCACCGCGCCCGGCCTTAAGCATTATTTTGATAGATGTTTTCAGAACAAAATAATCTAAGATGTCTTTAATGTGCCAAAATTTACTTTAAGTATTTGTAAAAATAAATGGTAAAACTCTACTTGTTTGTTCTTAATAAATTATTTTGTATAAAAGAATAGCGGCTGACAGATCCAACAAGTGTAAATTATTATAATGCTACAAAATTGTCTGCAGAGTTTACGTTTCCATTTTAAGATGAAAAAAAACAAAATTCAAAATCTATCTAAAGATTACTTTAAAATGAAAAGGAGTTTTTTTGTTGTTTTTTACAATCTTAGAATAAAAGCATAAATGAAAATTACAAAAAGGTGGGTTGACTGAGCTGGTGAGGAAGACCTAGATGGTAGGTTGAGCCACTAGACAGTAGTGCTGAACTCCGAGTGAGTGGATTCGACCAACAGTGGGCTTTAGCCAATTGTTACCATGTGGAAATCTGGGTCTGAAAATTTTCAATAGAATCCAGAAATATGGATTTTTTATGTAAAACATGAAGCTATTTTTTTCTTTTCCACAGTTACAGACTTACAATGTACATAAGCTGTTTCTCTCATGTGTGCCCAGGGGTGCTGGTGAGAGCTGGATGACAGTGCACAGAGTGACAGCCTTGTTACCGTCGCAACCAGCAAGCAACTCAGTGATTCTAGTTTGTGCTCTTACAGCTCCAAAGCTACAAACCAAAACACCCTCAACTCTCTGCTGCGGCATTTGTCCAGTGGAAAAAGAAGTAGACAAATGTCAAAAACCTTAGACTTAACTTTTAGAGTTAAGTCTATAATAAAAATATAAACTTCCATCTTCTCGTTTGGTTTCATTATGCTCTTTACGTGTGGCAGGCAAAATATTATTAACAATCCACACACACAACCCTTGCCACTCCCCTGGAAGATGGATTCAGGTAACTGGAGTGTCACAGTGTCCTTGCGTGGACATAAGACCAAGGAGCCTGGAGGTACAGTTGAAAAGCTCTAGATAAAATGAGGCTGGGCTGGCTGTTCCGGGAAGGTGAATGTCAGTTGGGAGCCCGGATGTGGGCAGGTTCTGGGGCACATTTTGCTGCCCTATGCGGATTCCGCCAACCAAATCTCTGTCTCTCTTAGGAAATCATTGGTAAACTTTCCACTTGTAATGGGGTTGATTTGGGGGCAGGGGTGGAGATGAAAAGAAGTTTTGAAAACATAGGGTGATTGATTGTTGGACCACCCACTTCTGGTTACATGGCTACTCTTTCTCATTTGGATGTAAGTGCCATACCCCAAACACCATTATTACTAATAAAATGACAGTAAAGTAATTTTAAATATTAGGAAGACACTATATATATTGATTTGTAATTCATTTAGGCTAGATTCTTTTTTACTTATAGGAATTGAAAGAAGCATAAAACTATATAACAATTAAAATTTGGTTCAATGAATTATAATTGGTCCATTTCTCATAGCCTCGCTCCAGATCATCTTTTATGTATGTCAGATACACTGAATTATTGTTGGATAACTAGGCTTTCCTATGTCATTCTAAGTGGAATTCAATTATTATTGTACATTTCTCTTTCCACAATAAACTGATTTTGAAAATAATGGAAGTAACTTCAGAAATGAAAAATCTGTTGGATAAAAGCAATTCATAAATGAATTAAACATCTGAATCATTTTACTAGTAAAATGATATTAATTAGAGATGTAGAGAAAAAAGTAATTCTTAGATAATTGATTATAATTCTAGGTGAAATTATACTTATCAAACACAAAAAAAAATTTATATGACTATTTCCTTATGCTGAAAAATAACTGACTCCAAAACTGTTTTTTTTTAATGTTTAATGTCTTTCTGTAGATAATTGCTTTAAAAATTAGGGAAGTTATCATTTCATTTATCTAACTGAAATATTTGCTCTTTTAAAAATCACATTTAGTGATGTGATTAAAATATGAAAGATTAAACCACTTAAATAGTAAGGGCTATTAGAAATTAAATTTATTCTTGAAAATTTAGGGTAATGAAAGAACACACTAGACTTATAATTAATTGGAAAACTTAGGCTGATACCTCATAACTGACAGTTACTAGCTAGGCAACCTTAGTCTCATTTTCTTTATCTGTAAAATGAGAATACTCTAGTACCTATTTTCAAAATTTTAGTGCTATTGTGAGGATCAATTAAGAAATGCATGTGAAACCCTTGGTAAACTAGAAGATACATATACTAGTATATTACATATATATAGTGCTTTCTAGAATTCAGCCCAAAGGTAGGGACATTTGATGTAGTAGTTAAAAGGATGGGCTCTCAGTAGGGTTGACCCTGTCTGAACTTAATAAGTTATTTAACCTCTCTGACTCATTTATTTTTCTCATAAGATGGTATGTGAATTAAATAAGCAAGTATTTGTAAAATATTTGCCACTGTGGCTGGCACAAGTTAATCCTACATAAATGTTACCTGTATTTAATATTCCTATTTGGGGGGAAAAACAATTTAGCATCATAGGAACTGAAAAATATTTTATAGTTACTATTAATAATATTCATGTTATACACAGGGGAGTCAATCCAGGCCTGTGGACCTGGATAAAGGCCAAATAGCCAGTCCAATCCTCTATAGCTTATCCTTGGTCAGACCCTAGAAAAACTAGACCTCACAATGTATACTGTTAAGATAACTACAGATTCTCTGCCCCATAATCTTTTAGTCTGATCCAATTTGATTCTAGATGGGTTGACCACAGAATGCCCTGTAGACATGGAGCACAAGTTTGAGACAAGGGTCAGATCAGAGACCAAGGTAGCATGAAATGCAGTTCTCACACTAGACGGCCGACGCCACAGCTGGTGGGCCAGAGTGCGCTCTGCAGGGTCTTTTCTATTAAGACATTGCTGAATTTGGAAGTGCCGACTATGTGCTCAGGACTCTACTACCACTTAGTTTAAGTGTAAACATCCTTTACCTCCTTCCTTGGCATACCCGACTAAAATTACATTCTTTCCTGCTGAAGCCTATAACCTTGTTAAGTTTAAAGGTTTGAGGGTTTTGAGGTTTCTTTTCCTGCCAGAAGGAAAAACTAGATTTCTTGCTTTTTTTCTGGTTAAGTTCTACATACGTATTTTCACTCTCTCCCGGTTTATGAGTAGCTGAATAGATCCTGTTCAAATTTTAGAAACTCGTTTTTGTACTGGTATTAACAACGTAAACTTTTACTGAGAAGAAATATTCTCGAGTTAGTTATAAGTTATGGAAAAAGTTTAAAACGATAACACCTTTTCAAATTTGGTATGTCAGATCCATGAAAACTTCTACTTTATTTTGTTTCTAGTTTACGGATACTCAGCTCAGAGGTTGCAAAGCTCAGGAATGCCTATGTCATATATTCACTTTCAAAATTTAATATTTGCATAGGTGATATATTTATGTTTCAAAACATAGATATGAGGAAATATTGTGAAAAGACTTCCTGCAACCCCTGCTGCCCATGTGCCCAGTTCTCACTACCCTTTCCCATGAAGTAATTTTGATTATTAGTTTTTTCTGTATTCTTACAACATTTCTTTGTGTATATACCAATAAAAAAATATATAAATTCTTATTTTTGTCTCTTTCATAAACAAAAGCACCTTTCTTAACTCAGTAACAATATATAGTCTCCCATAAAATACACAGAAATCTTTCTTATTCTTCCCTTTTTATGGCTGCATGGTATTCCGTTCTAGGGATAGGTTAATACCTACTGATAGACTTAATTTCAGTGTAGTTTTAGATTTACAGAAAAATTGCAAGAATATCTCAGAGTTCCTAAATATTTAGAGGATGGATAGCACTGATAAAATTTTTAAGTGAAATTAACATATCTTTGGCAAATTAAGAGAACTTTAGCCTTGTTAAGCATTATGTGAGGTTTTATAAAATCAATGATAATATGAAATATATCTTCGCTATAATCAGAAAAGCCCCACAATTTTCACAATTTTCACTGAAAGTGTTATAATAAAATCAGGAACTTTTGCTTCAGAACCTTAATTTAGGTGGAGGACTAAATTTTCTTTTCTTAAAAGAGAGCAAAAATAAAGTACTTACTTTTAAGATTATGAATTAACATATTTAGTAAAGTCATAAATTTTGAATACTGAATAATAGAAAATTCCATTCCTCTAGCCCACAAAAATCCAGATACATAATAATCTAGTAGAATGGCATCCTTTAAACAAGTTTGGAGATTTTTGAAATTCAAAAATGTTCCCAGTTTCCTGTAACAAAAAGAAAAATCCAGACAATAAATCAGATTAGACATTGAATAGTTCCTTTTTTAAGTTTTGAAAACAAATATTCTTCTTGAATTAAAATTATGTAATATCCATAATCTAAAAATATAGTTACATCAAAATTCATAAGACTAAAATAACATTCAGAAGAGAAACAGAGAGAGTGAGAGTGCATGAGGGTGCACACTCTTTTGTCCCCTTCCTCCTCTTTATTTTCTAATTCTCCTCCTTCGCCCCTCCTCCTCTTCCTCCTTCTTCCCTCTTTGATGTACAATAACTGTACTAGTATTTTTTTCCTCTGAAAGTCAATGTCTCTTTTCATTCAAACAATTAAGTTTCTTTTATTTCTGAAAATATTCTGGAATTGGATTTTAAATATTCTATTTTCTTTTTTTAAAGAATTTCAATTATGTATGTTTTATTCATTTTTTTCCTAGAGCTATGATTTCTCTCTTTAATATTTAAATTTTTTTTTTTTTCAAATCTGTTTCCTTTTTATTTTGGATACTTTTCTCATTACTGTCTTCTTTGTCCCCGAAGCGTTTTTCAGCAGTGTTATTTCTTCCTTGGGCAGCTATAAATTTCACCTCAATTTCTATAAGATCTTTCCATTTCTACTCTCTCTCTCTCTTTTTTCTTTACATGTTTTATCACCTTTCATTTCTCATTATCTATTCCTTGAGCTTTTATATCGCCAAAATACTCTTGTTGTGATTGCTTCACAAGTTTTTTAAAAATTCACGATAAAATATTTGATCCTATATTTTGTGTGCTTCTGATTATATATTTCTGGTGTGTTTTATATGCTATTTCTTTTTCCTATTCCTCTTATCTTTTTTCTTGCAATGTCTTTGTATGCATATTCTCTGTTTATTACTTATCTTTGAATGAGTGAGATTTTTGTCCTTGAATAGCTACTTTCAGGAAATACACCGGAGATGGAGACCTGGTCATGTTACAAACTAGTAGGCATTTTCTGTATATAACTAGTGGGGGAAAATAAAGAGAAGTATGGATAGGCTCTCTTTACCATCACATAAACAGTCTATTTCCTGTGATACAAAAAGTATCTGCTTCAAGCCTGCCCATCCTGGTCCTGCTATTGCAAACAAGCGTTCTTGGAATGGCACTTTAAGGTTTTCTCTTGGGAGCATAAGTAGACTTTTTACCTCATTCTAAGCTCTGCAACTATGTGTATCCTTCCTTATATTTTCTCTTGCACTTCTGGTTGATCATATCAATTGTGGCAATCATCTTTATATTTTGTGGTTTGGGCTTTCAACATTCTTCTGGTTTTGACGAAGATGGAATTGGTATTTCCTTGTTGTGTCTATGTAATTTCAGAGGGGGGAGGTATGTATATGACAACTTTATACTGCTATCTTCATAAAAGGAAGTCCTTATTATTCATAATATTGAAATAAATGATATGATCAGAGTAATAAATACAACAGGGTTAAACAAGTATTGGGAACAAATAAATCTAATGTTGACATGTGGTTAACTAACTCTCCAATATGCATTTTATCCACAGTGGTATCAGGGTAGACTTTAAATCCAAAAGTGAGTTCTGATTATTCTACCCCAATCCCTATCCCTTTCCCGTAAAGCCTTGTAAGGCCATTCTGTATATGGCATGCCTCTATAATATTATTTGTTCTATATTGGGCACTCTCCTAAATTTTTCTAAATAATTCATAACAGAGGAGGAGGTTCTTTTTCTTTTGTGGAACAAAAATAAAAAAAGTAAATAAGTAGCTTTGATTGCTACTGGCAGCCATCTTGTAACCATAAGAAAAATCAGTCCTAAGATTAAGTCTCATTTCTTGATGATACTATTTAGGTCTTGACTCAACCAACTTTGAAGTCTCTCAATTTCCTGTGATGTGATATATTATACATATATGTATGTACATGTGTAAGTATATACTTTTTTATTTTTTAAGTCAATATGATCCATTTTTTATGTTGCATGTGACTATACATTTTGATACATTTTGCCAAGTGTACAACTCAACTGGCAGATGCAAATATAAATGGCAACCTTGGTGGCAGTGGTGGGGTTTTACTCTACTAACCAGGCACCTTTATTTGCACTGTACATCATTCAGCAAGATTTATTTTTCAATGTTTAACATATAGCATCATTAAGTCTTAAATGAAAGTCAGTAAGAAAACTTCTACAATAACAAAAACTTGTGGCATTGTTATGAAATAAGTAAGTAGGCCAATGGAACACGTAGAAAGCCCAGAAACAGACCCAATATGTGTGGGAGCTTGGTATATGATAGAGGCAGTATTTCAAATCAGTGAAGGAAATATGAACTCTTCAAAAATGGTGCTGGGAAAACTGGCTATCCATATGGAAAATAAAATAAAATGCTATCTCACCAAACACAATACAATGAAATCCAAGTGGATTAAAGATCTAAATGTCAATAGAAAACATTACAAACTTTTAATAGAACAATATATTTCTGACATTTGGGTGGGCCAAAATTTCTTAAACATGACACCAAAAATACAAACCATAAAGAAAAAGACCAATAAATTGGCCTATATTAAATAGTCAAAAAACTCCTGGATGACCAAAGATGATATAACTAAGTTGAAAAAACAAACTGCAGACTGAGGAAAAAAAAATGTAATGAATATAATTAAAAAAAATTAGTATTCAGTAAGGAAGGAGAAGTAGGAAGCCTTCACATATTCTCCAGTCTTATCAATAAAAGAGAGATCTAAATAAAGTTGGCAATATGTCAGGAATATACATTCCCAAATGGGCTTCAGTGTCCTCCATTGGTTAAGAACCTAGAGTAAAAAGAAATGATTAATTGAGACCTTTCCAATCTCTAATTATCTTTTGCAAAAAGTTCCTAAAATTGGAATTTCTAGCTTATATTTGACATAGTGAAATATATTGTTAAACTTCCCTCCAGAAAGGCAGTGTCAAATAAGTCTTTCATCAATACCATACAAAAAGGTCCATTTCTTCCTACTACAATCTAGTTTATATTTTGCCCATAATTTTAGTATCTATTAATCTAATAAAAATTACTATCTTGTGAATTTCTTTGCTTATTCATTAGATTGCATTCCTTTCTAATGCCCTCCATTGGTTGTTTTTTTCCTTGTGAATTTATAAGAGCTTTTGTATACTTGGGATACTAATGCTTTACATTTGTAATAGAGTTTTTAAAAGCATTTTGTTACCTGACATTCAATTTTATTTTGGTGAAAAAAAGAAATTAGGTTACTTTTTTCCCCCAATTTGCACACCTATTTCTGTTGACATGATTTAGAGTAATTCTGTCTATTATCATATTAGATTTTATTTTAATTTTAAATGAGTCCCATGCTTATTGCCAGGCTTTTTATATCAGTTTCTCATTGGCAGTTTTGTTGTTATTTTAAATTCACCAATGAATTGATTTATCTTTTAGCTTGCGTTATGAGGTAGATTTTTCAATAAGACCATATGGATGCTGTATTTTCTGAGATGTTTCGTATAATACAGTGTCTTTTGCAACTTTAACTAAACAACAACCCAAATTAGAATTTTATTCTAGAATCACATTCTCCTGACCCCTGAAATTTTGTTTACTTGTCATTCCACGGATTTCTGCTGCCTAAAGTTGCTAAGGAAAAGTCTGAGGCCTGTTTGATTATGTTCTTCTCTAGGTGACTTGCTTTATCCTGGAGATAATGCATAAAGTTTTATTCTTCTAAAAATATGAAAATCAAAGCTTTTATTTAATGAAGTATAAATTATTTTTTCCTATTCACTATTTTGGATGTATGTTCTAACATCTGCTAGTTGCTTTAATCTGCATTTTGTATAAGTTTTCTTAAATTTGTCTTAGACACTACTTTCTGCACTACTGATCTGATTTTCAGCAAGGTAAGTCCTACATTGGTTGTATTACTATTATTATTATTTTTTTTTTTAGAGATAAGGACTCCCTCTGACACCTACCCTGGAGTGCAGTGGCACGATCATAGCTCATTGCAGCCTTGAACTCCTAGGCTCAAGCGATCCTTCTGCCTCAGCCTTTTGAGTAGCTGGGACTGCAGGTGTAAGCCACCAAGCCAGGTTAATTTTTTTTATTTTTTTTGTAGAGATAGGGTCTCATTATGTTGCCCAGGCTGGTCTTGAACTCCTGGCCTCAAGTGATCCTCTTGCCTCAGTCTCCCAAAGTTCTGGGATTACAGGCATGAACCACCATACCCAGTCTTTGGGTTGTATTCTTTATCCTTAGTTCTAAAACTTCTTATTTACATATTTTGTTATCTCTTCTTTAATCTCTTGTTGTGTGGAATTGAGGCTCTCTTTAATCATCAGCTTTTGCCTAACATTTTCTGTTGTTTCTAGCAGTTAGTTTTTCTTCTGAGTGTACTCATCCTCTGCCATCTGCACACTATATGTTTTTAATTAAATATTTGACCTGAATATTTGTATATGATTTTTGCTTTTATTTTTCAGTGTTTAAGTGTGTTTGAATAAAGGCAACTACTTGCCTAAGAATATTTTGGTGAAATCGATTTGATCTCCCTTCACCTTTGCTCTCCCCAACACCCCTACACCACTTTCCCTAGTGCTATCTGAACCTCCCCCTTTAACTTGAACTACAGGGCTGAGAATTTATCATTTTCATTCTTTGCTCAGTCATTTAACTTTGAATGAGATTATGCAGGGAGGCATCTGGAGCAAGGTACTGCTGCATTTTGAATGTAAAGTTTCCATGTATTTTACTGGCAAATATGTAAACCTTTTCTCTGGGGATTAGGAGAATGGAACGGGGAGAGGGGAAGGATGGCCTAGCTGCAGCGGAAGAGATGTAGGGAAAGAGGAAGATGTTTCATTGTGTTTCAAGAAGTGTTGCTACAGTGATGATAGGTGATGTGCCTATCTACCTTGTCTCATTAAGAATTTTAGTAAAAATATTACATTATTCTCACATGTTCTTAAAATTGAAGT